GCTGGAGCACCCAGGCCTCACCTGGAGGGACCCCAGAGCAAGGAGCATGCAGCATGGCTCTTCTGTCACTGCCCTCTTTGCCGACTCTCTCTTCTCCAGACACCCCTGCTCAGGTCCTTGCCACACACGCCCTGGGGTTGTCACCTCTCAGGGAAGCACTAGCCTGATGGTTTGTCAGGGTCCCGGTATTTCTGCCATGACTCAATCCCTAATTTGCTCTTTGAGTCCGGACAAGCCACCTCTCCTCCTTGCGTTGGTGTTTCCGAAGGAGGTAGAGCAGTGAAGGTCTCGGTTAGCTCTGAGAGTCTGAGATTTAAAGGCTCCTAGAATGTAAACCTGAGGGCCAAGGGCTCCTGTCTGTCCTTTTCCATTCTATATCTGCTGTGAAGAACTGTACCTGGCTCGTATGTGCTCAGTAAATGTTTGTTGAATGAACGCACCTTTCTCAATCACAAGCTGGCAGGAGGATGGGCCTTTCTCAGACTCCGTCCCTAGGGATTTATGTTACTGTCCTTTGGAGAGAATCCAGATTCAGACTTTGAGTTCTGTGGCTGTGAGCAAAATCCAACAAAGACCCAAATCCTCTGTCCTTGAGAGCTTGAGGAGAGTTGACCAGTTCATGTTGCCATTGGGTCTGAGAACATTGTCTTTAAAATTCATTCCTGGCACCTGTCTACTGCTTCCTGGGGGATAGAGTTGAGGGGGCCACACTCAGTCACCTGAATTTGACTGTCCCCACAGAAACAACAGAAGAAACAAGTGGAACATCAGCTGGAAGAAGTAACGTGATTTCTTTGTTTGCTCATAACATGACTGCTGGGTTTGGGGGGCACTCAGATGTAGAGGCACCAACTCATCTCGCCCACTCCCAGCCTGGGGAAGAAGGCTCACCCCTCAGATTCCACCACATCCCCACAGGGTCCCTGATAACCTGGTCGCATGGGTGGACCTCTGCTGGGGCCTTGGTGGCATTCTGGGGGCATGTCTCTTGCTGTGCCATCTCTGCCTCCCCGTGGTAAGAGCTCTGTCTTCCTCTTCCTATAGGAAAAGAAAGCAAACAATGAAATACACAAAGCACAGACGGAGCAGTTAGAGGTGAGTGGAGGGTGGGGAGTTTTCTCCTGTCCTCCGGAGAATGTTTCCTTCCATCTCTTTCAGCACTTGCTTGGCTTTTCTCCCAAACATTCCATTTCAGACAATCAACATCCTCACGCTGGAAAAGGCAGACTTGAAGACCACCCTTTACCATACTAAACGTGCCGCCAGACACTTCGAAGGTGGGAATCTGGGCACCCCATCATCCTTCAACCTGGCACTTTGACAGGTCTTCAGGGGGAGTCCTTTGGGCCCCATCTCCACCTCTGTCATTACAGAAGAGTCCAAGGATCTGGCCGGCCGCCTGCAATCCTCCTTACAGCGTATTCAAGAATTGGAGCGGGCTCTCTCTGCTGTGTGTACACAGCAGCGGGAAGAGGACAGGGTGAGTCCAACCAGCTGCCCCGTCCCCTGGCAGCCTGGCTTCCCAGATGGAGGAGTGAGCCTAAAGGTCCCTTCTGCAGGATGCAGTGTCCTGCCCAGAAGGCAGCATGCTCATTTCTCAGCTGCTTTTGTGTGTGGTTGTTAGAGGCAGCCTGGGGCTGAGTCAGCTGCTGTGGGTGAGTTGGGGGCACTGTGGGGAGCAAACACTGGACACAGAGCTCAGAGGCCAAGTGCCTGCCCTGCCCTTACCTGGCTGTGGCCTTGGCCAAAGCCTAGGTGGTGTATTGGGTACTTGTACTGTGAAGGTACAGAACAGTACATTTAGTACTTCACAATTTCTGTAGAGAGAGGAAAGGCGTGTGTGTATGTATGTGTGTGTGTGTGTACTATGATAATATACATAAAACCTGTTTGCAAGTGTTCATTAAAAACTCAGAAGGGAATAACATGGTGGCTGGGAGACACTTCCATGGTGTACCTTCTGAGTTTTGGACTATGCGAATGTATCATCTTTTCAAAAAGTGAACAAAAGATTAATTCCCCCTTCCTTTCTGTGCCCCCATGCCCAGCAAGGAAAATGGGCTTAGAGAATCGGATAGACCTGGGTGTTCAAATCCCAGCTCTGTCTCAGTGATCTTAGGCAAGCACTTAACCTCGAACACTCCATGTTTTTCATCTACACAATAGAGGTAATCCTAGTAACTGTTGTGAGGATTACATGGGATTGCTAGTATGGAACCTGGTGAAGCACTCCATAAAGGTTCAAACAGTGGTATTAATAACAGTAATAACAACAGCAATGTTATCTGATCTCTCTGGGCCTCTGTTAGCCAGTTGTAAGTTCGATCTCTTTCCCTGTCCCTTCCAACTTACTGAGTTCTTTTAAAAACCAGGCCACGGGCTTGGAAATGCCTTGATCTTTACTGATTGAGTTGTACATTGAGCCTAGCCCTAGCCCTTTAAGGGGCACTGCCCGGGCTCCCCACATCAAAACTTCTCACTCTTCACCATCCAGTCCTCCAGCCGCAGTGAAGCAGTCCTCCAGCGTCAGTTACAGCAGACCAGAAAGGAGCGGGCGCTGCTGAACGCACACGTGACACAAGTGAGGCTTTGCAGAGGGAGGGATGTGGAAGGAAGATGATCCTAGCTGACCAGGAGCAGGTGAGGACCAGTGACAGCCCTTCCTCAGTTCTGTGGCCATTCTTGCAGGTGACAGAGTCACTTAAAAAAGTCCAGCTGGAGAGAGATGAATGTGCTCAACATATAAAAGGAGAGAGGGCCCGGTGGCAGGAGAGGATGCGGAAAATGTCGGTGGAGGTGAGACCTGACCCTTCAGCCCCCACCTTAGATAGGTCACTGGATCTTTCTGGGCATCTGTAAAATGGGAAGAGTACAGCTAGAGATGGTCATGGGTCTGGGTTTGTGGAGGTGGGGGCCAAGAGGGAGACGGTAGCTTGTCCAGCCACCAGCCCCTCTCTCCAGGGCCCTTTCTCCCTGTGCTTTGGGCAGGCTCATGCATTGAAGGAGGAGAAGAAGCGTGACATACATCGGATACAGCAGCTGGAGAGGAGCTTGTCCGAACTCAAACACCAGATGAGTAAGATGCGGCTGGTGTGACGTGGGAGCAGGACTGGCATCAGAGGGCTGTGGGGTGGCTTAGAGTGCCCCAGGCAGGTGGGTGGATGGAAGGGCTTTGAGGCAGAGGGAAAGAGGTCTGTGCCAGCAGCTGGCAAGTCTTGTCATCTCCATGAGCCTCAGGGTCCCCATCAGCTAAGAGCGAGGAGTGCCGTTGTCAGCCACCCACAGTGCTCTCTATCTGACATGGCTTGGAAATTGGCTTCCATTGGGTGCGAGGAATCATTAGCAGGGAGGCCGAGTTTGGGAAGCCTGAGAGGAGCTGCATCAAAAGGAGGGCTTTTTCTTTGAGCGGGGGTGGTGGGTGGGGAATCCAGAGGCCCTTATTGTCTGTTTCATTTCTCAGCTGAGCCCCCATCCCTGGTGGACCCAGCAGGGACCTCTGAGGTGGAACAGCTACAAGATGAGGCCAAACACCTGAGGAAGGAGGTGGAAAGTCTGGAGGGAAAGCTCCAATCCCAGATGGAAAAAAATCAGGTCTTGACTCTCCTGAGCAAGGAACAAAAGGAGAGACTCCAGGAGCAGGAGGAGAGGCTCCGAGAGCAGCAGGAGAGGCTTCAAAAGCAGGAGGAGAGGCTCCAAGAGCAGGAAGAGAGGAGGTTGCGGGAGGAGGAGAGACTGTGTGAGCAAAAGGAGAGGCTTCAGGAGAAGCAGAAGAGGCTGGGGGAGCAGGGTGAGAGGCTGCGAAAGGAGGAGGAGAGGCTGCGAAAGGAGGAGGAGAGGCTGCGAAAGGAGGAGGAGAGGCTACAAAAGCAGGAAGAGAGGCTGTGGGAGAAGGAGGAGAGGCTGCGAATGCAGGAGGAGAGGCTCGCGCTCTCCCAGATGCACAAGTTCAACAAGCAGCTGGCCGAGCCACAGTGCAGCTTTGAGGATCTGGTGGGTAGCCCCACCTGGGCAGCCTGCCCTCATCCCTAGCCCTCCAGGCGTTTGTTTCCCCACCTGTAAAATGGGGCAGTGTAGCCCTCACATGACATGGTACTTCTAAAGGCATCCGTGAGCCAGAGCTCATCAGGCCCTGCTCTGATGGCTGTGGGGAAGAGGGGATAATTTTTCTAACCTACCTCCACCCTTTCCGGTGACATGGGAGGCAGACACCAAGTTCTTGGGTCTCCAGCTGCAGTGGATGGCCACTGATTGCTTCTCTCTGTCCAGAACAACGAGAACAAAAGCACACTGCAGTTGGAGCAGCAAGTAAAGGAGCTGCAGGAGAAGCTGAGCAAGGTGAATGAGATGGTAACCTCTGCCCCATCCAAGAAGGGCTGGGAGGCAGGCACCAGCCTCTGGGGAGGGGAGGTGCCAGGCCAAAGGCAGCTCCAGCTGAGGGGCAGGTGACCCCAGCACCTTCCAGGGCAGCTCCATGACTGTTTCTTTCTTCCTACCCTCTGAATTTTAGAGGTGGGTAGCCCTGGGCTCCTCCCAGGTCTGGACATCATCTTCCCAGCTAGAGGCATGGATTCGCCCAATCATAGGGGTGGAGACAGTGGTATAAGAGGGTCCTTATGCCGGGCACAGTGGCTCCTGCCTGTAATCCCAGCACTTTGGGATGCTGAGGCAGGAGAATCACTTGAAGTCAGGAGTTTGAGACCAGCCTGACCAACATGGCGAAACCTCATCTCTACTAAAATTATAACATCAACAAAAAATTAGCCCGGCAAGGTGGCACATGCCTGTAATCCCAGCTACTCAGGAGACTTGAGCCTGGGAGGTGGAGGTTACAGTGAGCTGAGATTGCACCACTGCACTCCAGTATGGGCCACATGGTGACACTGTCTCAAAACAAAAGAAAAAAGCCTCCTTAGATTCAAACCGGATTCCGGCCTCGGTTCCACTGGTCACCATTCAACTACTTTTCATCTCTGAGTCTCTGTTTCTTTAGCTTCAAAAGGAAGTTAGCATTTTTCTTATGGAGGTGCTGGGGATTAAATGAGAGAACACATGGAAAGCATTAGGCATGTCGCACACTTAGCAGATGGTGATTGGCTCCCTCAGCTTTTCCACCAGTCTGTGGCCTACAGTTTAAATGGTGGGAAGAAGGACAGGAGATTTGAGGCTGGGGAAGGAGGCATGGGGTTCTAGGCAAGGGGGGAAGTCTCTTAGGCCTGGAGCAAGGGGCCAGGGTCCCAGGCAGGTGACAGAGCCCCACCGTGCCCTCGCTACCCTATTAATGGGCCCAGAATCTGGAAGCCAACCACATGCCCTCATGCCCAGGGTCTTCCTGCACATACAGCTGAAGAGCCAAGAGTCTCAGAGTCTGCAGCAGCAGCAGTGAGACTAGTACCGGGGTCACCTGCAGCAGTACGTGGTCACCCATTAGCAGCTGACCTCTGAGAAGCAGGAGCCGCACAGGCAGTTACTGCTGCAGACCCAGCTTGTGGACCAGCTGCAGCAGCGGGAAGCTCAGGGCAAAGCGGTGGCTGAGATGGCCTGCCAAAAGTTGCAGGAGACCCAGGAGAGGGAGTCGCTGAGGACAGGGCCCCGAGGGGGACGACCTGGCAACCTCTGTGCCTTCTCA